ATTTATTTATTTGTTTTTTAATGATTTACTTACGAATATTATAATATAAGAAATATGCATATATACACTTGAAAAAAATATGCATATATGCACCTAAAACGTTGATTATTTTGGTTAAAAATAATAATTTCTTAAATGATCCGTTTTTTTTTTATTTATTTTTTTATAATTTATTGAATTTTAAAAATTCACTATTTTTAAATTACAGTTAAAAAAAATCAACTTTTTTAAAAGTTCATGTTTTCTAAAAAAAATTTAAAAATGTATTTTTTGAAAAAAAAAATCGAAAATTATTATTTTAAAAAAAAAATCCGAAAATTAAAATTTTTATGTTAAATTTTAGACATTTTTTTATTAATATTTCCAATAACACAAAAAATTAAACATTAAATTAGATTGATAAGATGATGATCATGTCGTGAATAAGTTAATTTTGTTCTAACGTTTCACCTTTAGTTTTCGGGTTTTCAAGAAACTATGAGTTGTCAACGGATCTTACCCATATATATATATATATATATATATATATATATATATATATATATATATATATATATATATATATATATGATAATTATGCTACCAAAAACGACTCACAACCTGTCATGGCTAATTTAAATGATCATAAATCGTCACAAATATTGTTTTAAGGAAATTAAACTGAATCTATTAATGTTGCAAACATTATGTCCGACCATTTTAATAAAGAGGGAATTTGACTTATCAGAGTAATTACCTTTTTGTTTTGTTCACATCTAGGTAACTTCTTTATTTTTATACATATTTAGGTAACGAACTTATTGAAAGTGTTCACATATGACCATTATGACCAGTTGTAACCTGCTATAGCCGGTTATAATGGTCATATGTGAACACTTCCAAAAAGTTCGTTACCTAGATGTGTATAAAAAAAAGTTATCTAGATGTGAATAAAACAAAAATGTAATTACCATGATAAGTTATTTTGCCTTTCCCAAAACCACATTCAATGAATTATGACCTATATTTAGGTCTGTTAATGCAACAGGTTTTGATCCTGATCCGACCCAAACCCTTAAGAATTATACGGGTTTGGATTATAGTTTTTTCGTTTAGCCGTTAACGACCCGTACCCCGCTAATCCATTTATTAAATGGGTTGGGTATGGATCTCCACCGATCTGCTCCGTTTTATAACACACCCCGTATAAATTTTAGAATTATATGTTTATAAATTATATTACCTAAACTTTAATTTTAATTCCAATCAAAATTCTAAAGGGAAAAGGCCAATGACCAAACTGTTTTTACATAGGACCCGGGGTGTCGACTTCTAGACTTCCAGTCTTCTATAAAAATGATGATGTCATTTCATTTATATTTCATCAAGCAATCATCAATTTCATTTATAAATCAATAAAGTCATTTATCAACCGGAGGAAAGTTTGCAATTGCTATTCTCTATCACTGCAATCGATAGTTAAAAATCAATCGGTAGTTACTATAGTAGTGACTTTAATTCGAATCGAAAGTCATCGAGAACGTTAGGTGTTTTCTAAATCAACATTTGTTTTATTTAAGAAATGTTATTTAAAGAATTAAGTAAAATGTGTTTGATTATTCAAAAAACCTATGGGTTATAAAACGAGTTGGAATATTTTGTTGATTTGATGGATAATTGTATGAGTTTGATTATTCAAAACCTTGCGGGTTTAGCTTAGATTTTAAAATTTGTTAAAAGGTTTTGGATCAAGGTCTAAACCCATCCAATTGCAAGGTCTACCCATATCAAATCTATTTCTTGAATAAATCGATACTCCAATTTGACATGTTTCTTTCATTTAAAAAAATCACTGATTTTAATCCCAAACTAATTTTGACCACCCAAAGTATCATCGACCATCACCAATCAGCAAACATTCACGAAACATAGAGCATCTTCAGAATCATTCAAAAGATCGAAATTAATCAATAATTATTCTAAGAAAATCTATTTGGAATTAAGAACCACATCACATGCTCTTCTTGATCATCGATAATGATTGCTATCTTTCGATTTAGATTTCCAGATCAAAATCGATTAAGAATAATTTTATTGAGTAAATAGACCCAGAAAAAAAAAATCGTGAAATGGAAATAAAGAAAAAGAAATTGAGTTCTCGATATAAATAAAAGCGATCCAGTGTGATAGACCAAAGCAGATGTCGTGAACGAATAAATCAAAACAAAACTTGTCGATTGTGAATTTTCAATATAGTATAAACCAAGGCTCTAAATAACGTGAGGCGTGGGCTTGACGACAAGGTCAAAGTTAAGTCATGGCAAGCCTTGGCGAGTCATGACATTTTTCAAGGCGTGACTATTTTATATAAATTAAAAAAGATAAATCATATAAATATTGAATTTTATCAAATATATCAAGTTTTTAGAAGTATTATATTAATATTTAGTATCAAAAAGTTAACAAAAACTCAATTATTTTATGGCGGATCAGAAAAAAAAAAAAAACAAAACAGAAAACCCGTGCCTTGAAAAAAACTCGCGCCATAACATGATAAGGCATGCCTTGACACGTTATTTGGATGTCACGCTTAATAAACCCGCCTTGGACGTTTTCGTAACGGCCATAAACTATAAACTGGCGTCGAGAAACGGATGAGATAATTGATTTTGGGCTCAAAATTTATTCATGAACAGTAATGGCCTAAGAAATGGATCAAGAACATTAACGAAGATTTTGGACTAGATTAAATTGGGCTAAATCAAAGAATGTTAGATTAAAATGTGATTTTTCAGATCCGATACAACAAAAAAAGAAAAAAAAAAGATGAACAATAAATTAACAATAAAAACTAATCCCGTCAGATTTTGAAATTTACGAAAAGTAGGTCAATTTGTGTAGAATTTGTCGAATAATGAACCATTATATGAAAAAATTGTTTAAATATTTACGGTATGGTTCTGATACTATTTGTTAGAACATTAAAAATTGATTTGATATATGAAATAATAAAAAAACAGTGGACACGGTGATTTGGGTGTTAAAAGACATTGCTCATCATAATGAAGAGTTATAAGAAGTATGAGATTGATCAAGGGAAATTATCAGAAAACTCTTAAAATTTTACCTTAATTTACTAAAAAGTTTCAAACTAAAATTTGTTTACAAAAAAGCATGAATTACCGGTAAAAATGACGATTTGACCATATTTTCCTAGTTTACCGGTTTCTTTACTTACATGTTTCATTAAAGTCCTATTATTTTATATTAATTTACGAATAAATTTCAAACTAAAATTTAGTCATGATTTGGCCCGATTCTCCATGTAACATACATTTTACCGGTTTCATTGCTGACATGGATGCCTAATCTTTAAATGAGTCGATGAGATGATTATATTGGGTTATATAATGCTATGTTTACCATAAAACTTGATATCTTGATATATTGTATATTTTTTTTGGAATATAAAATGCATCCGACGAAGACTGCAATAATTATATACACTAGCAACAACTACGTAAATTTTTACGTTTATAAGAAATTTCAAATTGTCTATCTTATCTTATGTAACCCAATATATCCATCATATCAGACATCAACTCATTTATTGCCATTTTTTCCTGGAAACACATATTTTATTGGTTTCATTGCTAACCTAGATACATAGTTATAAATGAGTCGATGAGATGAATATCAAATTTTACAGTAAATATAGTATTATATAACTCATCGTATCCATCCTATCAACTAATTTAATGATTATGTGTCTAAATCAACAGTGAAACCGATAAAATGTTTGTTTGATGGAGAAAATGGCTAAATCACCACTAATTTTAGTTTTGGACTTATTCGTAAATTAGGTAAAATAATGGGACTTTAATGAAACATGTAAGTAATGAAACCAATAATCGGGAAAATGGGTCAAATCACCATTTTAAGCAGTAATTCATGGTTTTTCATAAACAAATTTTAGTTTGAAACTTTTTCATAAATTAGGGTAAAATTTTAGGACTTTTCTAGAGATTTCCCATTGATCTAATCTAAATAATTAACTCAACTCCAACTCTCAAAAATTATATTACTTAAACAGACTCTCCAAAAAATAAAATAAAATAAAATAAAATAAAATATTGATCGAATGAAGCTTATATTTAAACTAGTGTTCATCGCTTTCTTGGCTTGAAACAATTTCCATTAATCATTTTACAAAAAGCTTATCAGCAAATGACTAATATGACAATCACTATTTTAGAAATATGGATGTACAAATATCTCAAGTCATAAACTAAACACTCACATGTGTAATTGGATCTTTCAAATCTTATTTTTTCATTATTCATCAAGAACTTTGTATACTAACGGGTTCTTTACTCTAAAAGATAGTTTTGCAAACCAAATGTCCTATAAAATTTAAAACCAAATTGAACAAACCGGAAAAGATGTCTATTATATGGGTGTGGTAGTTAGTTCCAATAGCCCGTTCACTTGGGTTTCAGCGTTTTAGGTATTTTGGCCCAACTTAGTTGAAGTTGCTTTCATGCACAATCTTAGAATTTTAATCATCTTATTTTTATCATATCAATTTAAAGATGTTAAAATATATGACTTAGTTAGTTAGATAACGTTTTACCTCAAGTAACTTTTTCTTACTAGTTAAGGTTAAATTGATCCATCAACACTTTTGTTTATATTTTGTTGGATTATTAAATAATCTATTTATTAAATATGATACAAAATGTACAATTTATAATAATAAAACAATCATTCAAAATAGAAAACTAATCAAAAAGTTATAACTATTAAACATATATTTTAGCAAATATATTCGTTCTATTCATTTCATCCCCGAAAGACAAAACATAACTTAAATTGTCCATTACTTATATGAATTCTTTTGAAATGTCTAAAAGATAACTAACACCATATTCGTAATCATATCTCAAGATTCCAAATGTAACATTGTAAACCATAACTAACGTGACTTTTTATGTATATAACAACCACATAATCATTATAAATCATTCTAAACTTTCAATTATCGGCTCGTGTAGATCTACTGCACGAAAAGATGGTGGCGATGGAGCATGTCCAACACCAAACGACATAATATGGTCTTTAAGTGATCTCTTATGCTTGAAATCAGAACCACAAACACACAACCACCGTTTACCACAATTCTTCTCATGTGTACGCCAATCACCTTTTACAGCAAAACTCTTTCCACACTTTCGACATGAAAAATGCTTTGTCCCATGTTTCCTTTTGTAATGTGTTTGGAGTGTCCTAAAGTCTTTAAGAGGCTTTGACCTTGGATGATTAATGTTGTTCTTGCATTCATCTTCGCAACAATAGCAAGGCACACCTATCATCACCCGTGGTTGTGTTCCCCTCAACGACTCTGCTCCTTTTCTGTATTCCGATCCATGACCCCACATGTGCATCTACCAATTATTATAAGTTGTGTATGTGTATTACTATATTTCATATTCAATAAATAAAATTTTGCTGTTCTAAATAAATAAATTAAATACCGCTTGAACTACAAGAAATTAAAGTAATATGTAGACTCTATGGGACAAATGCGCATGTAAGGAAAAAATGTGTCCATTAAGCAACTATAACAATATTTAAATATTTCACTATGTCTTGTCAAAAGCTTAATATGAAAAAAGGAAAATTAAATATACATAATGAAATGTGAAAAACAATGGTGAAGATATTAGCGGCACATGTGGGTATTGACCACTCCTTAATTTTTCTTTTTCAATTGGATTATAAGTTGAAGTATAACAGATAACAGATATATGAGAAACTATGACAATATTTTACTCACAGTGTGCTGATTCATACTTTGACTTAATTTGTCAATAAAACTTTATATATCAATCAAAATCGACATTTTGGGGCAACAATTAGGTTAAAACAAACGAGATTTCTTGTACTTTTGTAATCAACAAATTAATTGTATGTTGTGATACACTATGACTAAATTATTATCAAATGCATCAAATTCTACTAGTTCAGGGCCTTTTGAGGTTAAAACTCACTGTAAAATATCGTTACTTAAGGTATCATCGAATTAATGATATGTTTTAATATACCCTCTAAGCGATATATAAATAAAAAACTATGTACATAGTTTAGGACGTTTAGGACGTTAAAACACACGAAAAGAATCTTTAGTTATGCAATATCATCATTCGGCATGCAATAAAAATGTTAAAACATATTTTAAAATAAAATAGTGTAGGGAAAAGTTGGCGTCACCTGAAGATTGTTATAGCGATTGAAAGTTTTATTGCATATATGGCAAGAGAAGTGAGTGAAGCCGGCGACTATTTGAGCACGACTAGGTATCCAGTATTCAACATTTACTGGCATATTTTCCATCATGTTGTTATTATTGTTATGAACAACATCAGTTTCATCAACAAGAACAAGCTTCTCAGTTATATTAGGAAGCCCTATATGCAATGCCACAGTAACATCTTCATCGTCTTCAACTTTGTTGCATGAACTTGAGTTCCCCTCGAGATTGCATGGTTCAAGAGGAAGAAAGCTCAAAAGGGGTAGCGATTTTGATGATTCTTCAGCTTTGGTTTTGAGAAAATCGAATGGCTTAGAAATAATACTGTTGTTTGGTTTACTTGAAGAAGAAAAGAGCTCCATGTTTTCATGAAAATGAGGGTTTTTTTGGGCGAAGTTGAAGAATGGGAGTAAATAGGATTAGAGGAGGGTTAGTAGCTGGAGAGAATGAGTTGGTTGGAATGAAATGGATGTAATAAATTTGGTCTACTTTTGTTAGATTATTCTATATTTGGGTACTAAAAGTAAATACGTTAAATACCATGGCCCCATTTGTAAGTATATTTGGAAGCATTTTGACTCAGAAGGGTTCAAACTCTTTAGCAACATTGGTTTTCATAAAAGTTTCAAGTATCTGGCACTGCAAGAAAACCAGGTTTTATGACGGTGTTTTTATGGTTAAATACGAAGCGTTGCCATAACGTATTTTCCTGATAATAACCCAAATTAGTTCGAATCCAGTAGTTTGAAATCCCACAATTTATTCAAAGGTGAGTGAGTAAATACCCATAATACAATCATTATTCACTGGTCATCAATCGATTTATCATAATAACTTAAAAGATAAAATATATTAGGTTTAATATTTTCAATAATAATAATGTTCATTAAACGAAAGATAAATACCCAAAAAGGTTACAAGGGCCTATACATATTATTACAATACAACATAGCTAAGCTAATGGTCTAAATAATAGAAAATATACCACACTAATATGCCCCCTGAAGATGCTCGCATACTAATGAGCGGAGGGTACGTGAATAACTTGAATTTGGCCGGTAGCGGCTTTATCTTTGATAAAGTGGATGTCTATCTCAATGTATTTTGTCCTATGGTGCTCAACTGGATAATTGAAGAGGTAACGTCACTGGCATTGAGCGGAGTGAACCCAACGAGAAAAATTACATAGCCAACATGTCTTGGCTATTACGTTAGCAACGCCTGTATACTCGGTCTCAACGTGTAACATGTTGGCGAATATCTGAGAAACAACATAGCGTGTTCTGATTAAAAGTTTGATAGCTTAGAGTCAGATGTAACAACATCGCATGTTCTGATCCAGAGTTCGATAGCTTGGAGTGGTGTCCAAGTAACTTGGAGTGTTGTCCAAGTTCTAGAGGATTTGGAAACCCTTTTGACGATGCAGACCGTTTGGACGATGCAGACCCTTTGCTGAGGATTTGGAAACTTTTGAAACAGATTGTGTAACATCCCAAAAATACGGTCCGAAAATTTCATTTTTAAATCATTAGTGAAAGCCATAATTATCCATCATTTCATTCATAAACAAAACTGTTATATCAAATCAGAGTATAATCTCAAAACATATTCTTTTTATCAGAGTAAAACATCCCAGGCTAAACAAACCATGGTGTGTGCCATGCGATCACCCCGAGCTCTTCCCTCCGCTACTGGAAGTACCTAAACCAAAACTGAAAACTGTAAGCACGAAGCTTAGTGAGTTCCCCAACCTACCACATACCACATACATAACCACATACTGGGCCCCCGCCCGCTGCATCGGGACTTGCCCGACATCGGACTAACTTCGGCATCGGGCCCCGCCCGGCATCAGGCCTCGCCTGGCATCGAGCCCAGCTCGCTATACAGATCGGTTCTCTTAGGCCCCGCCTGCCTCTGGGCCCCGCCCGCTAAGCATATAACATAATACATAACAAACAAGCTAAACATACTCTACTATACTCCTGCTCCTAAGGCCTCACCTATCTTGGGCCTCGCCCCTGTCCTACTACTGGTGAGTCATGGAACCCCGTCCACACTCCTCCTGATAGTGAGATACGGGCCCCCGCCCACACTCACCTCCCTCCTAACTCGGGCCTCGCCCCTGCTCTGCTACTAATGAGATACATAACCCCGTCCATACTCGGCTAATGAAGAGACACGGGACCTCGCCCGAACTCACCTCCCTACCAAGCACATACAAGTATCACAAAGATAACAAGTATAATCTATCAAGCGACATATAAACCTTCCTCGGGCTTACCCCGGCATCGGGCCTTGGTCCGGAACCATACTATCATAAACATTCCTCAGGCTTTCCCCGACATAGGACCTTGGTCCGGATCCTATAAACACTGACACATGCAAGAATCACAACTATCACTGGCATACCAACATTCCTTGGGCCTCACCCGACACATATCATAAAATGCCTAGCGCAAACCCCCGGGTCTTCCTACTATACACAAACATAATGGGCCGGCATTGTGGCCGTAGACCCATGCACACAATGAGGAGACTCACATTGCACTGCTGAAACCTCGACTGGAACTCTGATGACGATGAATTGGCGATTCCCGAACTGCTGATCCTTCGGGTCCTCGAGCTACCGATATCAAAATAACACTTAGATCAATATGCCCTACATAAGTCAAACTAAATCAACTCTGGTCAAAGCCAAAGTCAACGGCCAATGGTCAAAGTCAACACTTCCAAGTTGACCCTACTCGCCGAGTCAGCCTACTGACTCGCCGAGTTCTAGAACTCAGAAACCTTATAATTCGCGACTCGACTCGCCGAGTCACCCTATGACTCGTCGAGTTCTTCAACTTCCGTGTCCTAGTCCTGTCCAACCCACTGAGTCACCTCCTCAACTTAGTGGTTCCACTTACAACCAGAAAATGAGTTAGGGTTTACGGCCCGACTCGCCGGGTCCATGAACAACTCGTCGAGTCCTCCTTGTGACATATCCAATAAGTCGATTCTAATCCATTCCAATGCTTCTAACTCATAGATTTAGACTCCTTAGACTAGCATTACACGTAAAGTTCTAACTTTACGTTCATGCATGATGTTATAAAGCTAAAACACTCATTCCAAGCCAAAATGAAGGCCTAAATCATATCATCAGTCATGGTTGAATAAAGGTGGAAACATTGAGATTCTAAAGCTCAGAAATGTCCAGATCTGAAGTCCTTTCATCCCCCAAGGTTCAAATCTCGGAATGACCTTGGAAAGGACCCAAAAAGTGCAAATAACAAGTCCATAAGAAGATCTAAGTGGATAGAAGCCAAGGTGTAAGCTTTATACCTTTAGCAAGTCTGAGATGTCCCAAGAACTCTAGATCTTCTGCCCTCCTTTGATGTCTTCACTCTTTGCCTTCCTTCTCCTAGCTTCTAACCACACAATTGGAAGGAAAATGGCTTGAGATTGCACTAGGGTTTCGTGGGTGAGGGTTTGGGGTCTGGGGGCTAAAGATGAGGCTAAGGGAATGAGAATATGATGCTTAAATAGGGCACCAAGTCCCGAAATTAGGGTTTCCCAACCCAGACCAGACTCGCCGAGGTATAAGCTTTATACCTTTAGCAAGTCTGAGATGTCCCAAGAACTCTAGATCTTCTGCCCTCCTTTGATGTCTTCACTCTTTGCCTTCCTTCTCCTAGCTTCTAACCACACAATTTCAAGGAAAATGGCTCAAGATTGCACTAGGGTTTCATGGGTGAGGCTTTGGGGTCTGGGGGCTAAAGATGAGGCTGAGGGAATGAGAATATGATGCTTAAATAGGGCACCAAGTCCCGAAATTAGGGTTTCCCAACCCAGACCCACTGACACGTAACTCGCCGAGTCGGTCCCCCGACTCATCGAGTCGGCCACTTAACCCACTGACACGGAACTCGCTCCGACTCGTCGAGTTCTTCCTTGGACACCACGAGTTGACTCATTGACTTAGGGTTTTTTCCTTTCCCCACTTGGCCTCCTGGATTCTGGGTGTTACAACTCTCCCCCACTTAAACTGGACTTTATCCTCGAAGTCCGCTATGGCCAACTTCCTTACAATCCGCTTACAACTTCCCCTCACGATACAAAATTTACCCACTCGGTCTAATCCTCAGAGGACCACTTCCAATGGTTTTCCGCCTGGTCATTCAGCCAAAACCGATCCTTGAAGATACAAACCTCGAGAGCACTCCCATCACCAACAATCCTGAGAACATGCTTCTTATCCAACCGACAATCCCTCTAGTACTCCTTGAGCACTTATGCTGGACATCCTAGGGGTTCACCCCTTTTTCCTGCGCGATACACGGCTTTCCCAAAGCAATTTTCCCTACCCAACAACAACCTTCTCTTATCATTCCTGCCCCCGACTGAAGATTCTGCTGTCTCGTATCCGCCTTCCGGATGTACTGAGACCACCCTGGTCCCAACTAACCTGCCATCAACTGGGTTACCGGACTCCCACCGGTTATTGAACCCATGCTCAATCGCTCAGTCGCTCCCAGCGGCTTCCAAAGAAACTTCGGCTATCTAAAACTGCTCTATCTACCTTGCCACTCTGGCTCCCTAAGTCCTGGGATCCTCGATCCCCTAACTTGGTCCTATGGTCTCAAACAGGTCCCACCTACGCTGCTATAATCATACGGGCCTCGCCCACGGGTCTCGCCCAACTACATCCCGGAGTGGCCTCTCCCACATGTCTCACCTATCTTGGGCTATGCAGGACCCACTCCATCCTAAAACTCAACAAACTACTCTCTCTATCGATCTTCATCATGCTAACTAGGAGATATGGGACCTCGCCCACACTCCTCTAACTAGGAGATACGGGCCCTCGCCCATACTCCTCTAACTAGCTGCTAACAAAATGCTACGGCTATCCCGCAACCTTACCCTCTTCCGCTCCATCTAACAGCTGGAGATTGCTACGGCGACCCAGTAGCCTTACATCCTTACTAAACCCGCATCATGTCGAGAAAATCTCCCACCTGGTTCCCACCCAGGTACCATCTACCGCGAATACACGAACCCAATGTTGGGAAGTTTCCCAAACTCCCAACTCGCACGCTCCTTTATCCTAACTGCCACTGGGGCTGCTTTCCTTTCAACAAAGTTGCGAACTCATCCCACTTTGCACTTACTCCTGAACTCTGGGATAGTTCTCCCCCACTTCAATTCGACTAGATCCCTACAGCTCCCAGCTTGGGAAGGATTCCCAATCCTTCTCTCCATCTAAAGGGTCGATCTGCTGACATCCAATGCTTACCACTGCTAGCGCTCCAACCAACCAAATCTAAACCACTCTTGAAGACTAACAGAACACTGCACTCACACTTGCTACAGT